TAAAAACTGCTCCACTGAATATATATAAAACCCAGAAGTCTATTTTCTTAAAGTCTCCATGTTAAATTTTTTTAATCTATTTTTTATTGTTGCATTTTATTTGTTTCTGTTACTTTTTACTCTTTGTACGGTGTCCTTGACTGCCAGAAAGGCACCTTTGAAATAAAATGTATTATTATTATTATTTATTAAATTTTTATTATATCAAAACATTAACAGAAATACTGTAGCTACCCTCCACAAAAGTTAAAAAGGAGACTAGAAGTATCAACTAGAAACTGGAAACTAGAAACTGATTCTGGAGTTTGATGCAGACAGAAACATTTTGTTTATTGATAGTTTTCACTTAAAACAAGCTAGTTTACAAGGGGGTCTCTGACACCCCTCACGACTCCTGCAACTCAGAGGGGGTCTTTGAGACCCCTTACACTTCCAGTGCTCCCCGGAGGGTCTCCGACTCCTCCAGTGCTTCTCATGTCTCTTGGGGGATGGAGGTGGTCCGCCACAGTCGACTATCCAACTAGGAAATCCTGATATCCAAGTAGGGTTTCCTCTTTCAAATGACAGAAAGAAATTCCCATTAATTATAATTCAAACCTATTTTTCAGGGGTTGTCCTGATTACCAAGACAAATCAAGCCTTATCTTTGGAAAAGCTCATGAGATGACTGGCATGGTATAAAAATGTACTTTAAAAATAATCTGAAAATGTGCTTAATTGAATTTGACCAAATCTATTTTAATCCTTGGTTTGATGTGATGGGTCACACATTTAAATTGGTTCTAGACTCAAACCATRCTTCAGTCTTCATGAACATTTATTTCCAGAAATTTGCTAATGTATTAGGACATTGTGGCTTTCTGACAAATACAGTATCTCCTAGACAATGACTTTGTCAATTTTGTCTCTAAATTAACATATTTTTTTTCTTTCAGGTTAAAGAGATCACAGCCTCTGTGGTGTGGGAAGCAGTGAAGGCTTTTAGAAAAGGGAGATTATTTCTACAAAACAGCCAGATGCATATAAAGAATGAATATCTTCTAACCAAAGCATGATCTTATCACATCATAGCACATAAAACATTTATTCAATTCGAGATCCAAATATTATGACCAAGGTGATAAGACAAGCCAATTCCTGTCTCATTTACTTTGACAATCCTCTGCATCCCGGCTGATACTTTGAGCTGAAACTGGTGCAGGAATAAAATCAGACCCATTTTTGTAGAATTTCATAAGCAGCTGTACTTGTTTGATTGCTTTCATGTTTCTGCAGATCTGAAGTCCTTTCTCAGTAGCATTAGAACTCCTGGGGCTCTTGATCAGAAGCTGAGCAAGGAACTGCAATAAACCAACAACAGAAGCTGGAGTCAGATCATTATACAGCTGAAAAAGTCCAGGCCCAGACAGCTTCTTATGTGAGTTCTGCAAACCTGGTCTCAATCTTATTAAAGATGTTTACTGAGTGTTTTAACAAGCATCCTTCCCCAAACCTTCAACCAGGCTTTCAACTTGAGGCTTTTGAAAATTAGTAAAGAACTGTTTATTATGTAATTAGTCCCAACAGCCTTTTAAGTATTGGCTACAAACTGTTGCCCAAGTTATTACCCAGGCACTTAAGTTTTATCCTCAGTTATTTGCAGTAAATGGCTTCCATTTAAGTCCTATCTTATTTGTCATTGTAACAGAGCCTCTGTCCATTGCCTTACAGTTTTCCTCCTGGTATATTCATCATAACTAGAAACATAATGGAGCTGAAGGTGGCCCTGTATGCAGATGACCATCTGCTATTCCATCTGACCTGCCTCACTTTATCCACAGTCTGACATTTAGTTAAATTACTGGTTTTAAATCTAATTTTGGCAAAAGTGAGGTATTTGCTGTTAACAGCGAGGCAAAAGAAGTATCTTCTCAATAATCTACCATTTAAAATATCCAATCTGGGTTTTGTCTATTCTGGAAGTACATGGCAGACACAATGGTTATTTTATTAAGAAAAAAAATTCTCTGCATCATTTATGTCCACACTGTATCATTTGAAAGAACCATATGAGCCTGATTTTGCTATAAAATGGGGAAATAGAATTGGGAATAAACATCTAATTACACCAACATATTGTGCACAGTCTTATAATGTAATGGCTCCGGTAATGTGATGCGACTGCTGCTTTAGAGAAACATACAAAACAACTAAAGGGAGTCCTGAGTTCAAACCCTGTGGAAATAATGCTTTGTTTAACCAGCCATGGCTAAAGGAAGAGTTTAAACCATGTAGCTTCTAAACATTTATAAAACTTTCAGCTTTACAATGTTTATATCAGTTTTGAGATTATTTTGAATTTATTTTTTGTTGTTAACAAAGTAAATGTCAAAATGGAATCAGTGAACACTAGATGCATTTGTTTTATTGGTGGGTGCCAAACACTGGGAGTACAGCTGTACCAGTTGCTCCACTGGTCAGAGAGCTGTACTTGACCTGCTCCAAAAGCAGTTGGACTTTTGCCACATGAGCCAGTACCTGACTGGGCTTTGACTGCTGCATACTACTAAAGCAATGAAACAAACAAACAAACAAACAAACAAACAAATAAACAAACAAAAATTTCAGTTGCAGTCTCACAAAATTCTATATCAGAAGGGAAATGCGTGACACTATTGAGCTTTTTTTCCAGTTTGGGCTGTCATAAAAAGACACTGCTGTGTTGTTTGCCCAACGTCACTGCACTCACTTCAAATGTTGTCAGTCCATTAAATGGCAGTTATCAGTCCCATACAATGTCTGTCTGTAGACTGTCCCTCCTCAGTCTAAGTTGGAAGGCACTTATCCGTCATTTTTAAGCCTGATAAAATGCATCTAGGTGCAGTGGGTTTGGCTCCTCCGGAGCTTGAGTAATCAGCCTGGCTCGCTGTCCAACTTTGCCCGAGGAGAAGCACTCGATCTGCTGCATGGAGATCCAGGCTGAAGCTGCTGGTCGCCTCAGACATTGSTAACAGTTGCTGACAGACAGTGGAGTTTTCTGGGTCTGCTCAGACTTGATCCAAACTTTGATCTACTGATCTCTTTGGGGTATAGACATTTTCTGACATTTTTATGTGTTTTTAGTAGGGCTGTCAAAAGATTWAAAAATTTAATYGCAATTAATCGTTAACTCGCGATTAATCGCCCGTTAATCGCATATTTTCGTCTGGTCATTAAGGTAATTGTATAAGCCTATTTTGAAGTTTTTAATTTGCACACTAAGACAAAAAAGMAAGACATGATGCTWTATACAGAAGTAATTTATTTTTTAAACACTACTCAGAAATCTGAATAAAAACAGGCTGACAGCATAAAATGTCAAACTYTGGCCATGATGACTTGAATGCCACATTACAAAGTAAAGTTAACACAAAGTAGTGTCAAACTTCCTAAACGAAACATAAAATAACTCAGAACAGACCTGTAACCA